GTGAGTGAGTGAGTGAGTGTGTGTGTGTGTGTGTGTGTGTGTGTGTGTGTGTGTTACCTGAGCAGTGAGGTCTCTGTGGACGGTGACCTTGTAGTCCAGCTCGGTGAAGACCTTCCTCAGGACATCGTCATCCACCTCCCCTCCCTTCCTCGTGTCAAGCTCAGGCGCAGCGCAGGGGTCAAAGGTCACGTTGCTTATCACCAGCGCCAAGCCACGAGGGGACGAACTAACTCTGTAGGACTGGAGAATCAACACAGGTGCAAGGTGAAGAAAGGGAAAGGGGAAGACGGGATCGAATGGTTTTAAAAGAACCTTCTTATGGAAAACAATGATGTTTCTATTCGGGCTTTGACACCTTGCTTGTTCACATTACGTTGAATACTATTATGACCTTGTATATATTTTATAGATCTGTATTTTAAACTCTCTGTCGGGTTGAGACTTTATTGATTGTTAAAATCGATGTATTTTTCGGAATGGTCCTTGTTCAATCATAATGAGAGATTTAACTGAACCTGTGTGATATATACAGTGTGGTGTACTGTGTTTATATTTTCTTGGTAGTAGGTTGGTTCATTCTTGTATATTTTAGCTTATTCTGTACATTTGATATAGTGTATTATATAGATAATAGATATATTTATTGCAGACAACTGTGGAAAAGCCTCCATAAGATCTTTAACTGAATTGTATTTGCTCTCGTTTTATTCAGTCCTGTTATTTTTATTTAATTGTTTTTATAAATCCCAAAGTTATAAGTTGCTCTGCCTATGAACTGTTTTTCTCTGTATACTGCTTTCTTTGTTGGTTTGTAAAGCTCTTTGTGTTGTCTTTAGTGTATGAAGCATCAAGTGCAATGCCTTGATAACATGCTACTGTAACAAAACCAATTGCTTATCAAAATACTTCGTATCATGGAATCTAAAAGCAGAGTACGTTTCTGCAAACAAGGCAGAGGTTTACCTGCTGGAAGTGCGAGAGGTAAAAGTCGTGAGAGCACGGGAGCACGGGAGTTTTGATGGGACTGTCTGCATCCAGACTCAGCTCCATGGACTCTGCAACACACACACACACACACACACACACACACACACACACACACACACACACACACAC